TAAATTAATAAGAATAGGCTTCCTTCAAGACACATCCAGGTTCTATCTATCTGTCAAATGCGGCTTCTGCAATGTTTCTCTCTAGTATCCTCATCCCATTTTCATTCACTCACTGCACATGCCTTTAATAATAGACTTCGGAATTATTGCCGACCTGCGAGGGATTGAAGCAAAAATAAATGAAAAAATAATGAACCATCTGACAATATTAATAAAAATCCATTGAAGTCTTTGTTCTGTCCTCACCTGCATTTGCACATGGTTTGCTTAACCATAAGATCTGAATGTTCCCCATATTTATGCCCTTGATTCCTTTGTTAACCCGACGAACAGACGCATTAAAAATTACTAAATATTTGAATTTAAATCATTTAAGGGTTGTATTGCCATTATGTTCTATAAATTTTCTAGCTTTCAACCTACTCGGGAGATCCATATTGCCTCGGCGATATTGTGTCAATTGCAAAGCCATGTGCCCTTTGATGCTAAATTGACTAGGTTATACCAGATCTTGCTCTGCTCTAGTCAAAACCTGCTGGGGGTTTAATGTTCGAACCTAATGTTTCTGTTCCGTTACCCCTTTTAACAGAGGAAAATGTATTGAAAAGGCTATATATTTCCTAAGAAAAACGAAGTTCATAAAAATGTATTGAAAGTGCAAAATTCAATAGATATTGAAAAGGTGCCAACAACCTAGTGGGTATTTGTTTTGGTATTTTATAAATAGGTATTAGTTGTTGACTTTAATTTAAAGGATTAGATATTTTAAATTATAAATAATAATAACTATTAACAGTAAGATATCAATTATTAAGTATCACTTAAATTTAAACACTTAAAGTTAAACACCTTTAAATAGTTTAATATTTTTATTTTTTAATAAAGTAAGAGTTCTTAAATTTGAATTATAAAATGTAAATATATATAAGGTAAATAGAGAGAAAAAAAAAAGATCATCTCCTATTTTGTAATTAGAAAAAAACAACAATAACATAAGTTACAAAACTATTGAAAGAATCGGCCAAAGAAGAAAATAATTACTGAAAGGACAAAAATAGGCGTGAACAGACAATGCAAGTGTCAATGAATACATGTGGCATTTGAATGGCTTGTCCTCAACCTACACCAGAACAGCACCAAATCTGGGAATTATTTCAAACTTATGTACTCAAATTATGGTTCGTTTGTAACTAAACTTCTACACCTATTACAATTTTAATTTCTATAGACCCAAGCAATTTCCTCCCCTCAATTTATGGAGCAGATTCTGCAAAGATGGCATTAAGTATGACAAGTATGACAACCATAGTATCGTATCTCTCTAATCCCGTGCAATAATGAAAGCATAAAATTTATAAAATATACAAAGAAATTGCTATTAATTTGTACTCATTTAAATCTAATTTAATTGTCTCACTTTTATTCATTTACAGTTATCATAGAAATTTATTCAATATTCTGTCTATGTTTCAAAATAAGTATATATTGCTTTTTTTTTCTCAAATTTTATCTAAAATTAATTTTTTTCATTATTTCGAAAGACAAGTACTCACTTTGTTACTGTTTATTTGTCTATAAACTAACTTTTAGCTATCTTTATACCAAAACTTTAGGTGATATAGACTTTTATACCGAGGTGGAACCACATACATCCACGGTTGGGAATGGCCCTTACATGGGTTCTAAAAAAAATAAATAAATAAATAAAGTTAAAAACAAGGGATTTTAAGGGGAGAAAGGGTTGAAGGTCTTATCTTAAAAAGGGTTGAAGGTCTTATCTTAATCTTTGTTTAGTAATTAAAAAAAAAAAAGAGCCTTAAGTTTAAGCTTAAGTTTGAAAATGAAAAAAGCCCTACCGTAAATTGATTCTTAGTTCTGTTACTGCTTTGATATACTTTTGTTTAAATACATAGTTCTTATTAAGTAGTTTTATATGGTCTAAAAAGAATTTAGTTATCATTTATATATAATATAAAAGTATTACATGAAGTTACCAGTAAATGTAGTTGAGAGTTACTAATTAATATGGATAAATAAATAGGATTGGAGGGATTGTATTTTTTTTGGCTATAACCTAATTGTTATTGAAAATAATATAGTTATAATGTTACATGACAATGTAATCTTACAACATGATTTGTCATTATAAAATTAACTTTCAATGAAGAGATCATCCATAATATTGTCCATATTTACTTAATTAAAAATATACAATGATTGTAAGTTTACAATTCTATATAACATTGTCATCATTATAGAATTACCATATTGTTATCCATTAATTTTAATTATCCACTCTATCATCAACATTTCTATATATATTTAGTGTTTTATTTAGAATAATATAAGTAAAAATATAAATTATCTTTATAAATTCTTAATTTGTAGACAAAAAATTCACAAAATGACAATTATTTTGAAAAAAATAGAGTAAAATAATTGGGGCGTTTTTTTTTTTTTCTCTCTCTCTTACTCACAATTAAATCAACCCTTAAGTTTTTAGATGGTAACTAATAACTTTAAAATCTATAAATTAAAGGGCTAAGTAGGGGATTAAGCATTTCTAATTTACGCGGCACCTTTTTGACACTACTAATTAGTATTGAAAAACCGAAGTTGACATTTATTTAATCAATTATCTAGTTAAAATAATCCTCATGACATTAGTGATAAAATTAATGTAATCTTTTGTTATTTTCAATATCAATTAATGGTAAAAAAAAATTTCATTACACTTTTATGATACAGGTTAGAAAATTCTGTTATAGAATAAGGGGTAGAACCCATAGATTTAAGGGACTAAGTTTTGAAAAATTGATATTTAACAAATAAATAACTCTCAAGCTAAAAAATAAAAAAAATAAAAATAAAACCTAACATAGTACAATTAATCCTTAATAGGAAATTAAGAAGAATTAAAAATATTTTGTCATTAATTTGTACAATTCAATCTTGCGTATGGCTTAGTATCCTATGTATCCAGACCTAGTTGGAACATTGGCTGTACTTCCATGAGTCGGCAATAGTGCACCTTCCTTCCTACTAGGTCACAATTAATTTCCATTATTTTTCCCAACATTGTGTTCTACATATGAAATAGCGTCAGGCCTCTTTTATCCTATATATGTTGGAGGCGCTCGACCTCTTCGTCCAAGATATGCCATTAACATTTTGATATGGTTGTATACTTGGAATGAATGATTGTTACTTCTATCAAGATAT